AATGGTGTCCTTGAAAAGCCTGATTTATTGTTAAATGCTGCAGCGCTGAATGTTGCAACGCCCTTGCCTGTTTACAAATGGCGTTTGCGTCGAGCGCAATACAATGACAGGAAGCGGAACAGTTGGCCGTTAGAATGTTTTGCAACTATCAAACAGCAACAGCGATTTCTGAAACTCTCAAAAGCCAAAACAAACAGAACAGACATTCACATTAATGGTTTCTCTTGCTTAGGTTAGATGTCAGATCATCCTGCTACCTTTATGGAAAAAACAGTATGCGAATCCGTCAACAAGAGCCTTTGCTGCAGATGTGTAGCTTTGATAACCAGTAAGCAGGTTGATGCACTCACACAAGGCAGCTGCTACCCATGGCGGAATGGGCGCTCACCGAATTATGCGTCAGATTTTAACGGGCAGACAGCTGTCTACCAGATCCAACTCGGCCAGGATGTGAGGGCATACCATCGAAGTGCTCCTTTAAAACAAACATCGTGACATGGATAGTGGTCTCGATCATGACCAAATCATCTAATCCCTAAAGCTCTGCCTGAAAATTTGTTTCGCTTTCGATAGATAATCTATGAGCAGAGGAAAGGCACACCAATGGGTTTCCAGGCTCCTGGATTTATAGCCGAAGCGGCTCTGTAGTGCTTGGTATCGTTGACAATCAAACGCCCCAGACAGAAATTCTAGACTCGACATAATGACGCCTTCGTCATCATCGAACGGGATCAGGTAGTGATGCCAAGAGAGCATAAATTCCCGATGGAGGGGGAATAAAAGGACCAAATGGCGTCCTTTGATGCTTTCATCTGTTGCGAATATTGTGGTGGTTTAAAAAACGAAGTATTAATGAAAGCAATGAACGGCTCCGAGCAAACTTGCTTCATCCTGTGATAGTTGGAATGATAGTTGAGTGTACGACTGACTAGACAGACCGGAGTATCCTCGGATAAGCCTGTCACATACATTCCTGCACTTACCATATATACACTATGAGCCTCAAGGTCCGTAAGCACCTGTTATGCCATAATCAGCAGACCATGGTCCTCGCAGCCTGGTGTGCGCTGGAAGTTCTCAGGAAACTGGTTCCCTGCCGGTAGAAGCGCATGCGCTCCCGCTGACTATATAGGTCGTGAGCATGACTGCCAGGTCATCATCTTTCTGGCCCGATGTGGTGCGGTTAGCTAAAATCTTGGTCAAGTGTTTGTTGTAAATCAGAGGGTGCAGAATGGAGCGCCAAGTTGCGGGTTCGGCCGTGCCAGCCACCTGTGCCCTCCTCCCACCTCCGGTTTTCTTGACTCTTCCTTGACTCCAACTCCAGGTGGTGAGGAGGAGGGAGTGCAGTAGGCGCTGCGAAAGTCTACCCTCACTAAAAGCCAATTCACGCACAAGTCACTGTGCCTGCTTCACCTCGCTGTGGAGCCCACAGTAAACATCATCGGGCACGACCGTCGGACTGTCGCGTCGTGTATACAGTGGCTGGCCTGTCTCATGAAACGTTAACCGAAATTTCGAAATTCATTCCCAGTTAGAAAGGATTATTTACATAGGTGGGGTTGTTATGCTGATTATTCTGCAACGTAGTCCGAAGATATATCAGCCGTGTATTTAATAGGCCTTCTTGCGGTCGCCTGCGAAACCGAATTCCAAGTAAAATGACCACTTTTGTAGCATGACTTCTTTCCGTTGAGTTTCGATGCCTTTATAAATGAAGGCATTTTGTACTAGAAGCATGAACAAAAATATACTTTCTTATATTCATTTGGTAGAGAAACACGTTTTACTCTAGTTTTATGCTCGTATAAGAAGTATCTTTGGATTTTAAGGCCTTCTGAATTTCAGAATATTTTTTTCAACCTGACCTGCAGTTGCATTTGCGCAAAGGATTTTTAAGTTACATGCTGCGCAATATCCGCACGTTGCTCTACATTAGTAAGGTGCCATATGGCGCTCATAAGATTTTGCAGTGAATGGGAACCATGTTATATACGTCATAAGCAGCATTAATATACGGGAAGAAACAATGCTGAATGAATGGACATTTCGTGGTCCTAACATATTTCGCTATTACAAACTTTATTAAAAACGAACGATACCCTCTCATTAAGCATAAACTTTGAAGAAGACGTGATTTTCTATCAAAGATGTAAACGACGGTTTATTTTTGAATATGTTCTCTATAAATATATTTGAATTTATGAGGACATCGAAAGCAGTGGAAAAAGTCCATCCAGGATATGAAGTCATTTTGTACTGAATGTGCTTTTTGCAGGCCGCCGGAAAGAAACTCACCACAAAAAACTAATATCCTGGTGTGACATAAACATTTTGAGATTACGCTGCATGATAACCAATATTACAACCCCACCTAAACAGTCCTTTCTAACTGAAAACATGTTTCATATTTCCGGCCAACAATCGACAGCAACCGCTCAGCCACAAACACCGTTACGTAAGGGCGCACTATCGACGTGTTTCCAGACACTAAAGTAAACCGGAAGTCAGGATTGCAGAAATATTGTACGTTCGACGGGTGCTCAGAGCGAATGATTACCCGCGCAAATTTATCAACTGTTGCATGCACGAACGAGACTACAGATCAAATCACACAGACCCAAAGGTTCTGCGGGCATTTTTGCACGTCGAGAACGTCTCGGAAACCGTCAACCGCCTACTCCCGTTACTTGGACTTTGAGTTGCATGCAAAACAGAACCAAGAGTCAGGCGAGAAGATCAGGAAAAACTAGGCGACAGAAAATAGGCCAAATGTCAAATTTCGAACGGAGAAATTTAAAAGGAAGTAACATCAGAGTGGTAGACTAGTTCTAAAGACCATGTGAAAGCATAAACTAAGCCCATCCTTAGGACTTTCACATTGAGTTGATGATTACTGAAATGACCGACAACGATACGATCAGTATAGCCAATCACTGAGCAGAGATTCGAGAACCTCGGATAGTCATTGTGAAGATGATCGCGGGAAAAAGGTATGACACTACCCTGAAACACGGTAACACGTTTTTGAGGAAGTGGGAAAGATTTACATTAGTCTGATTGGAAAGGAAATGTAGTTCACAGACCACGAAACATTCCAAATGGGATAGAGTCAGTAAATAACATTTTTTAGAAAGAGAGGTGTCACCCATAAACTTAGATGCATACCTCTAAGGATATAAGTGTCCAGTGGAAGACGGGCACCTCAGTTTCTGTAGCACTTTGACTCGCTTCGTATGCAGATATAGGGAAATTACCGGATCAATTTGAGGAAGTGCTGCGAAAAAGCAGTGACTAAAACCGACCAGATATGTAGGGAAGCGACTAATGCAAATCAAAGAAAGTGTAAGGCGACCGGTAGGAAAGGAGGAAGACTCCATCAGGCCCCACGACAAGTTTGTTGCGATATCTCAACTTCAAGCATCAACGCCACTGGTAAATCTATTGAAGAGACATTGACCTCGCATACAGAAGGGGAGAGTGACTAATTAGAGGGCATTCGCTTTTAGTAAGGTGGTAAATCGCCCTCACCAAACGAACGGAGCTTAAAGTGCTACTCTGTACCACGTCTTAACTACTTAGGCCGAGAGGAAGAAAGTATATCAGATCTATGAGCAGTCTCTCCGCGAACAATACGGCTCAAAGACAGCTCACAAGATAGCGTTGCGAGAGCTGACTGCAGGGCGGACACCAGGGGGTTACAGGGTTTTTTGCGGGTATCATCGTCGTCGTCACTGAGCTGTGTCCACAAAACACAAGGCTCCAAGGTTGATAGACCGATTCTCTTGAATTAAAGTACATGAAAGCCCGTCATCTTGCTCTGGTGGACGTCCGACTGGCAGGGGTCGGCGTTGTTGGTGCGTGTGCTTGGGGTGGGGGAGACAATTGACCCTGTCAAGAGGTGTGAACAGGAGAAACCGACGTACCCTTGCAGGGGATGGGGTGGCGGCAGCTTCGTGGGGGTGCTACTAGAATTTCCCTCTCCCCCCTGGAGAGTACCAACGCTGACGGGTTAGGACACGCCTGGACAATGCGGTTAGGGGGATGCACGTGACGTTCACACCGCGTGGACCGGCGGGTTTGAACAGAGGCTGTGTGGGTTAACGCTGTGTGGGATACTACAGGTCGAGGTGGACGTTAAGAGATGGTCACGGTGACAATCTGCAGTGTGTGGGCGACCTTATTAAACGTTAACGGAAATTTTGATGGCCAGATGTGGTCATGCAGCCCCACCTGAAGTAAACAAAGTCCAGCTGCCTGTCATACGGGACCTGTGGCAAGAGGTCTTTTTACAGGTTGGGGCGGGGAGCGCTCAGGCGACGAGCTCAAGCAATTGTATGCAAAAGATAGGCCGTTGGGAATGCGCGGTTGTACTTTGAGTGGTTGAGAGATAATTGCCCTAACCGCTAACTGTAACCCCTGACTCAGCCCCTAACCTAGCCCCCAACCCTAACCCCTAACAGTACTGTGTCCATCAGATGCGACTGCATAACCACATCTTACCATTCTGATCTGCCTTTTCGATTATGGGGGATTATTTAAGGGAAGTTGTAATATTGGCTATCGTGCGGCATAATCCCATAATATTTTTGACTCTCCGGGATGCCACCTCTTGAATACACTTCTTGTTGCCGAACTCAGTAAAAAATGACAACCTAAGTAGTATGCATACTTTGCGATATCCCTACAAATCAGGACACATTTTATAGAAAACATGCATAACATATTCTTTCTTGTATTTATTTGGCAGGAAATCACGCTTTCCACAAATTCCTTGTCCGAAGAAAGTGAAGCCATCGGTTTTGTAAAAATGTTCAATTCCTGAATAGTTTTTAGCCTGATCTGCCGCTGCATCCGCGTTCAGATTCTTCAGTTTACATGCTGTAGTATATTTCTCATGTAAGGAAAATGATACAGTTCTGCGCGGCCACAGGAAGGTGTCACACGGAGCTTATGAAATTTTGCGATGCATGTTGAGTATAGGATACACTTTAAGAGGAGCACTAACAAACGGAAGGATACGATGCTGTAGAAAGGAACATTTCAAAATCTTAAAAATCCCACAATTAAAAACCATTTAGAAACCAATATTTACCTCTTCTTCTTATAGTAGAAACCTCGGCGAAGACTTGATTATCTACAAAATGAGCTCAAGGAAGCTGATTGTTGCATAAGTTTTTTTACAAGACAGAGCTGAAATTGTAAGAGCATCAGCAATCAATAGAAAATATGCACTCTACATAAGTAGCCATTTGTTGGTCTTTTACAGGCAGTCGAAAAGGAGCCAACGTCTCAATGAACCTGGAATAACCTCGCACGACAATCAATGTTATAACCTTACTTAAGTAATTCTTCTCGGTGGAAAACGCATTTCAGATTTCTGGCTGACATTTCATGAGATCAGACACTGGCTGTGCGCATTAAACACCAACTACCACCACCTCTGAGGGGACTGAGAAGGCGTCGTTATATAGTCTCTCCTCACGGCCTCAGCAATGGAAGTCAGACGTATAGGTAATCATGTATTTTTAGACCCAAGGTTCGGAAAATGAAAGAGATTTGCGTGAAGTGTCATAAAATTCACCGCGAGAGGTTCTCGAGAACCGTTCCGAGTTGCGAATAAGGCCGCTTACCCATGGCTCTCCGGGATGCTACTTTTTGAATGCATTTTTTACAGGACTCGGTAAAAAATGACAACCGAAGTAGTCTGTACACTTTCTATTGATTTTCGATGCTCCTACAAGTCCAGGCATTTTTTTATAGAAAACATGCACAAAAACATTCCTCCATGTATTCATTTGGTTGGAAATCACATTTTCCACAAATTTCATGTTTGAAGAAAATATATCCTTCGGTTCTGAAGAAGATTTCAATTGTCGAATAATTTTGAGCCCGATCCGCTGTTGCGTCCGCGTTCCGCATCTTCAGTTTACACGCTGAAAATAATGCCTTTCTGTATGGCCACAGGAAGGTGTCACATTGAGCTTATAAAATTTTGCGATGTATGTTGACTATAGGGTATACTTCAGGAGGAGCATTAGTAAACGGATGGACACGATGCTGCACGAATGAGCATTTCAGAAACTTAAAAATCCCACAATTAAAAACCCTTAACAAGAACCTGGGATGCGCATATTCTCTTCCATTCATTAAAAACCCTTTTAAAAATCAATATCTACCTCTTCTTCTGGTAGAAACTTTGAAGGAGACGTACTCTTTTACAAAATGAGCTCAGGGAATCCTATTTTTGCATATGTTTTCTACAAGATAGACCTGAAATTGTATGCGCATCGACAATCAATGAAACGTATGCAAGCACAATAAGTAGCCGTTCGTTGCTAAGTGGGCTTTTACGAGCGGTCGAAAAGGAGCATATTCGAAAGCCAACATTCCAACGAATCTGGAATATCATCTCACAATAAACAATGTTATAACCTTACTTAAGTAATTCTTCTTAATGGAAGACGCATTTCAGAATTTCGGCTAACGTCTCATGAGATCGATCACTGGCTGTATGCATTAAACACAAACTCTCATCACCTATGAGAGGACTAAGAAAGGGTAGTCATTATGTCTCCTGCTCTCGCCCCTAGCGGGAGAAGTCAGGTGTATAGGTAGTCAAGTTTTGTTTGACCTACGGCTCGGAAAATGAAAGAGGTTCGTGTGAATTTTCATAAAAGTCACCGTGGGAGGTTCTCGAGAACCGTTCTGAGTTGCGAATAAGGCCGCTTAACCATGGCTTTGACGACCGAGTGATGCGCTCCGGCCGTATCCGTGAGCCGTCTACGAGATTACTGAGCGGTGTTAAGGGTATGGACTCCGAATGATGGACCGCACAGGGGATCATTCCAGACTAAGAAGTGAGTAGATCGATGAAAATCCGCAGATGATGTCGGCTGTTATAGAAGTGCACGGGACCAAACATGTGAGAGCGAAGGATGCCCAACCGAGAGCCGAAGACCGGGAAGGTGCAGATGGATTTTTGTGTAGCGGTGCACCTTTCTGCGCTGGAAACGTCTACATCCGTTTTCAGACTGTTTGTTTCCCCGGGATATCAGGCTCGGCGAATCCCTGCGCTGTTGCGTTGTGCCTCTCTCGTATCTCAGATCGGGAGCAGCCAGAGAGAATTAAATAGCCCGATGGGAGACCTCACGCGGACTAATAGCGGAAATGATAGTGAGAAGGACGGGCTTGTGCTCGAGACCTAAAGTGTTTCCGGGACCGTCTGTCGGTGCTTTATTCCGCCAAAATAACTGTGCTGTCAGCACGTTCTGACAAACAGCAAACAGAGACTAATAGACGGGATAGAACGCCAATACTTTCTTCCGTCTGGTATCCAACGTGACACTTGCACGTGTCGATTGAAAAATTATGGTCTTTGTCGACAATGAATATCAATTACTAAGTGTTTGCCAGCATACTTCCAGCCATGGGAGCTTCAGGTGGTAACTCCAAGACAGAACAAACGGCGAAAGTCACTCTCTTGTGAATCCGACTATTCGCGAATGCAGTCAACGGTAAGTGGGCCTGTAGATCATGTAGTTGACTGCCTATTTCAACGGCCAATCAAGCCCCTGTTGAGACTCAGGAACTTTCTGATCTTAAACTGAAGTATGGATAGCTGACACGGCAAATATCCACTACAGTTCGTCACAGGCTGTTTTGTTTACTCTGGCAGTACTCCTGGATTATTGAATGCCTGTCATTGTATTATATCCCGACGGGTGTGATGGAAGAGAAGGAAGGCGGGTTCTAAAAAACACTCTGTTCTAGGTTGGCGGAAAACAGCGGATCCCTTAGCTCGTCAACCTTCACCTATTTATTTGAGTTCAGGCTGTTCTCGAGCCTTCCGCCCAATGGCGCGCCAATCACGGTGGGCATTCTAAAATGTTCTGGCCTATGGCGTGTCTCATGTTGATTGGCGATTTCTCACACTGGAAGCCCCTCGCGAAATCTTCCCCAATATTTGGTCCCCACGGGTAATCAAGAGCCTCACGCGTATTCGATACAGCAGTGCATACTGATTGGCCGGCTGGTTTCACGCGTGTATTTCCCAGCCGGCTTGGCCTGCCGCAAAGCGCGTCCTTTTCGCTATAGACTGCGATTCCATTGTGGCTCCCGTCTGCGCATCACCTCCTCTTTTTGAGAGGTGTACCTCACATTACCTCTGCCTCGGTTCCATGATGAGACTTTTCGGCGGCTGTGTTTTCCAATGGCTCTTGCGAATAAGAGATGGTGTAGGCTTTAGCTCTCCCTTGGGGGTCGAAGCGTCAAAGGTGTCACATAGCAAATCTAGCGCTATTTGGCCATTCGTGATGAGCCTGGGTCTCGGCCGGTTTGCCTGCCGTGTAATTTTCCTCGTTGCTAGCTCCACTTGAAAGACAACGCCTCTCCACTTTCTGGCAGTGCCCTCTCCCCACAGTTTCTCGTTGGGTTTGTAATTTCGGGCAACCACATTTTCTCCTTCCCGAAATAGGCCTTTTAAAGGATTGGAAACTCGGACCTCAGGTTGTAGATACCGTAGTGCCCCTTTGAGTGGGGGTGAAATGGCAGTGACGTCACATGTCGGATTTTCCGTTTCCGACACAATTGTTGGAACAGCGATGATGCAAACTAGGTGGCATTGTCCGCCACAGTCTCTGTGGGGGTGCCATACCTTGAAATAAGTTCTTCCGTCTTTTCGGCGGTAGCTGTCGCGACGTCGAAACCTTCCAGCCACTTTGATTTTGCGTCGATAACTAAGAGAAACATTCGGTTAAAGAATGGTCCAGCAAAGTCAACATGGAATCTTTTCCACGGTCTCCTGACCTCCGGCCATGGCATAAGCGTTACTTTTATTGAGTTCTTAGCCTCAGTGCCGAAACGTCCAACGGAAGAGTCCACATCGTCATAAATTCCTGGCCAATATATGTACTTACCTTCAGGCCAGTTTTTTCATTCGGGCTCTCCTTGGTGTCCGCCATGGGGCTCACGTGAAACCTGTTGTTGAGGTTTGGCTGGAATCACTACTCTACCATCAAATATCATACATTCTTAGGTGATGTAAACCGTTCCTTCAGGTTCCTGAAAGGCTTAATGTCTGGGTGTACCTTGTCAATCTTTCCGGATAAACTCATTTACCTGGCATATGGAACACTAATTTTCGTGTAGTTTAGTTTCTGTGCATACCTTATTCAGAAATAGAACGAACAAAACATTAATAGTTTCAGCAAAATACCAGTATTTACATGGGTGTTCTGCCGTGAATTCATAATTGAAGAACGAAGCCTAAAAGCGAGCAAAAATAGTGGAAATGGCCTCAACGTATAGGGAAAGGCGTGCTCTTACGTTTACGGTAGAAGAAATATTAGTATTGCTTAGGAACGCGAAAGAAACGGCCAAAAGTGTCAAATTTTTACTTGGCCTCACCGCGCAAAAATGCAAAGTACACAGAGATCCGTCAACAGAGCGCAGTAATAAAGCACCTCAAAGAGGTAACTTATTAAGGAAAGTTTGATCAAAGGGATACTCGTTGGTGACTTTTGTTATGGACAGTCTTTTTTTTCCAAAATGAAGTTTGATTTTCGATTGAGTCTTTGCATGTGAGCCAAACGACCATTTTCACAAAAACGAGCGCCCGAACACTCACTAATTCGGTAAATGCCTTCAAGAAAAATCTTAATTTAGAGTTTTTAACAGACAGGTAATTCAGAGTCTGTCTTTATGGACGATCAGGCGAAAACACTGAAAATCATGAAGTATTCAGCAAAATTTCAAGACCGATCTGAAACTCAACGTAATCTAAAACGAAGGAAAAGTATGAATTAATTTAACGGAGGAAAAATTCTCTCTATAAACAGAAAATGGTATGTTTACGATCACGCCTGTCGGTTGTATTTCGATTTATTAGGCACCGGCCGGCCTCATAGCATTTAGCTTTATGAAAACTTTTGTTCCTATGACGTCCCTATCGGTGAAATCAAGCAAAATCCAGTTTCTCTTGTTGAACCCCACTTCGTTTAGCTCGCAAAAGCCAAGGATAACACGAAATCCTCGAACACTGTTTTGGATTCTACACTCAGAATGTAGGCGGTTAACGAACCGTCATATATGAAATCACACTAATTATTAAACGGTAGTTAGATGTAAACCTCACTAAATCACTATTATTAGACGTTATTTTATTTCTACTTTCATATTTACTACGTTTTTGGTATGAGAATACATTCTATACATTTAAAACGAAGTTTACTAAATTAGAGCCATTCCTGACGTTTTCAGAATATTGCGCTTTTCAAAATAAATCGGCATTTCTAAACAACTCAACACCGCCTTTAATATTTCTTTTATGTTTTCAATTCTTTCAAACTTATACTTAATTAACATAGACATTGGACTCATGAACTGGTGTCGGTTTGCGAGTGATTGGCAATGATTCTTAAATTTCGACACTTTTAATGAGCTAGGTCACCAACTGTAGGTTTGCGGGCCCGACTATGACAGCCGAGGTAGAGCTGCAAGTGGAAATTCGGTGGTCGCTCATTACGCTGTCTTGTGTAACCGCCACTTTTTGGCCTGCATACCCCACGAAAAAAGTTTGATTTTCTGAAAGTTTTTAAAAGACGCGAATGTGCAGCTGCAACACTGAATATTTTTGACAATTAACTATATTTACTCCTTATGCCAAATCTCCGGAATGAGTCATGTTCTGAATTGAAACTACAAATTCCGATCTCTTGTGTAAGTGGATCCAAAAATGAAGAATGTGAGGGGGTCTGAGGCAATTTTATCAACCGATTGACGCTCCTAAATGTTAGAAGTAATGCACACTGTCAAAGGCAGGACTTTGAACTAAAATCGTTTCGCATCGACATTCCAGCGCATTTCATGCATAAAAACACTTTTGCTTATTTGTGATGTTTTTGTTTAGGTTGCTAAGCGCTGGGTGTTTGATTAATTGTCCGTTATATCAAATTTTTAGTAGCTGCACGGTCTGTTCCGTGTTTTCATGTCTAGTCTTGGCTTCCGTGCCCTTCGTCCGCTTTCATCTTTTCCGCCACATTTTACCAAACGTTTTCATCCTCTGGGACCAAGCTTTCGTCCTTCACCCAGCATGATGCCGCGCCCATGACTCTGACCTTTCTTTCGTCCTACCAAGCCATCCAGGCTGCATAACTCCGGCCTTCTACCTCCCTTACCTCCGAAAATAACTGACCTACTAATTCTCGTTTTTGCTGATCTGAACCTGAGCCCAACAATTCGGAATCTTCCTCGTTTGCCGTCTGTTATTGTATGGATAGGCAATATCAGCCTATATATCTATATCTATAATTTCGGCGTCTTGACTGGTCGTGCTGGTTTCAGTGGTTCGATGGAGGTGGTATTGAGCCAGCTAATGAGGAAGCCATTGCGGCATGCCAGGGAATTCCTCGCCAAGGCAAATGCAGCGCGCTCAGCGTTTTGGCTTGAGAGGTTACCAACTGACGGGATAAACAAGCCTTTATTTTTGGAATGACAGGCTGCAATGGTTCCTCACGCACCCCATGAAAGCGTACTTCTTACCGTGGAGACCAGGTCCTGAGTGGCACACGTAGGCAGGCTGTTTTGCTTTGTCATTCGCAGCGTCTGAGCCCACCGCCGGCCGTCCAGACTCTGTCTTGCCATCAGGTATGTGTGAGAAGAGGTGCTATGCAAGTCCGTCTCCCCACAAACTAATTTACGTGCAACTCACTGATGTTGCGCCCACTCCGTTATGCGCACGGTGGATGTCGTAGCTCGCGACGATCGGATTGTCAGTTGCCGTGAACCATGTCAACGACTATTCAGCCTGCTGACTCAGACGGGGATTTTGTCAGACCGTACTTAATTGACCCCACTGTCGTTTGCACTGACTCCAGCTCGGAAAATGTATCGTGATCTCGGAAGCAGTGCAACCAGAAGTAGACAACTGTATAGGTTTCACTAAGCGATAGCAGCCCTCTTGTGGCATAACCATAAGGGTCGGGCGACGCCTTTTGTTTTAGTGAGTGGTCCACCTAGCTTCGGATTGTAACTTGACGGCGCATGTTCGTCCGCATCGTGTTTCAGATGACAGACCAGGTGGATTTTTCTTCATTGCCAATGCTTACTAGGGCAGAATTATTCATCTGATTTATCGACTGGCAGGACGTTGCGTGTATAAAGTGGGTGATAATGTGGGCTAGGTGTGACAGGGGAATGGCTTGTGTTACAGCCGCCGGCTGTTAGGTGTTGATGACCTTAAAATTCCCCATTTGTGCACTAGTAAACAAAGACTTCAGGGAAAGGCATCTAATTCTGTTTTCGGTAACAATCGGGAGATGGCACCCAAAAAATCTGTTACCTAGATATAATGCCTTTAACAGAGGACTCAAACGCCTTCAGGCTATATCATCGGTTGCAGACCTACTTTCACGCACTACTTCGACTTTCCCCGACGGCCTAACATGGGCTGGCCGAACAAACGTCTCAGGAGGTTACATGGTCGCTGTTACCCAACCTTCCTCATCGTTACACACGTACACCTGAATATACGGCATACATTCCCATTATGATAGTTTATTACAAAACAAAATTACTTTTAAATAGGATAAGTCTGCACAACATGGGACAGGAACAGTTCCCAGGCATCTGTCAAAGACTTGTCATTGAGGTCAAACCAAAGACGATACTGTACTTCGTCTATGTGAGCCCACACAGCTGGACCACATACAGGGCTTCCCTCGTGGAGTTTCCTTTTCAGTCTACTCCAGTATGCCTCAATGGCATTGGTGTGCCGTCCGTTGGTAGGGTCCTTGAAATTCTTTGAGTGGTTAACAAAGAAATGCAGATAACCTTCGGAGGGAGGACGATTATATGCCTTCCACTCGTCCGTTACCACTATACTGCCTTTGGCGACCAATTTTGTAATAACGGAACGGAGAGCGGGCCAATTTCTATCATTTACCTGTTCAAATAAGGCTTCCTGTCGGCTATTATCGTACATCCCTACAAGCCACCACCCATAATACCCCTATTACCACCTGTCCCGTAAGACAGCCTGCTTTGGTTAGGCGGATATTTTTGGATGCCACCTCCCGATTGTTACCCAGTTTTCTTTGCGCACC